CAAAGAAACATAGAGAAAAGTATCTATTTTCACTACAGCAGGAGTGCAGGGGTCACCTGCGCAGTGGTGTCAGCACAGGGGCTTACATGGCAGTGGTGGTATGGGACTTGTGCAGCAGAGGGCTGCACATTAGGCCTGTGTGAAGCAGGGAAAGGGAATGTGGGGTGTGGGGGCAGATCAACATCCCCACAGCAAGGAAGGGATTAGGGCTGGGACTGGGACAAGCTGCCCAGCCAGGGTAGGGGAGCACTGGACTCGGGGAGGGGGTGGTGGGGCATGGAATACAGGTGCAGCAGCACAGGGAGCAGCGCCTATGCCCTGCTGCTGCTTGCCCAGCTGGGGCAGGGGAGCGTGGGATGCTGGTGCAGTAGTGCTGGGAGCAGGGACTATGTCCTGCTGCAGTTTGCCCCCTTCCTTCCAGAGCGGGCCACACCTGCATCGCGTCCCTCCCCTACCCGAACTGGACAAGCAGCAACAGGGCATAGCCCCCGCTCCTATGGGTGTGGGCGCCCGCATCCCACACTCCCCTGCTCCCCTCCCCAAGTCCCATGCCCCCCTGCCCCAGCTGGGCAGCTTGTCCTAGTCCCAGCTCCAATCCCACCCTCACTGTAGGGGCATTGATCTGCCTCTCCACATCCCTTTCCTCGCCCCTCCAGCCACCACAACAGACTTACCATCTAAAGGCAGCTGTGTCCAGAGTCCTCGAGGACTGCTGCCTGTTTAGTCTATGCCTGAATCTCCAAATTGGGCTAAATCTTTTCCAAATTGATTCAGAGACTTCCAATTCAATTTGGACCTTTTAACTGGTCTCCCAATATGATTCAGATTCGGAGATTCGGCTGCCAAATTGGGCCAAATCTCCTCCGAATCAAATCGGCTACCAAAGCTTCACACAGCCCTACTGTGCATGTCAAGGATCCCAGGAAGCCCCTGAAGGCCCCAGTGGTATGCAGCTTGTGAGCTGTGCGGCCCAGGGCTTACAGCCAGTGTGGCATGCAGCCCCCAAACGACCTAGGGGTAGCCCTGGCCTAGCCACAATCACATTCACCCAAAGCTTCATTCTTCAGATTTAACCTTGTAAAACTCCCAAGATCATATTCCCAAGGTGCAAAACCAGATCACCAAGTAGCTGTAGTTCAACGAGCACATAAACTGATCTAACAATATGTCCATCCTGCTATGCTATCCTGCACCCTGGTAGCTCAGACCACCTGGTATTTGCAACCTCTGGATACAGCCTTCAATAACACTAACAAAATCTGTACCATTATGGGGAATGCAGGGGCTATTGTCCTTCAGGGCCAGTAAAATAAAATGGTTGTCTGGCAAGGTGACTAATTTTCATGAATGAAGGCAATACATGCTAACCCAGAGATGCCACATTTCTTATGGTATGAAGCTCAGGTATAGGCCAGATATACCAGAGTCAGACTTTAACTAAAGATCCTGTAAATTCCACCAATTTCTCTTTGTAAACCCCACTGAGCAAACACAGTGGTGTTTTTGCCAATTCGAAAGCTATCAGGAGTCAGGGCTTTGTACCTCTAGGCCTTGGCTGGTGATTGCCATGGATTCATGGAATCTGTTCTTCTGAAATTGAGAAAGAGTATAAGCAGGGCCATCCTCTACACTGTGGAAAATATCAGTACAAATATTAGCAAAACATTTTCTCCAAAGGGCTCTCTTAAGAGATCATCATGTACAACCAAGCTTCAAAACCTATGAAACAAAGTTCATGACTTACAGGTTACTGATTTTTTTAATGTGCTTACAGGAGTAAAATGCATTGCAAACAGAGGGACTGGTTAAAAGGTAAAAGTGGTATCACTTGGAGGTAACATGTACTTCATAAAAGTAACGTGTACTTCATAAAGTTTGCATTTTATAAAGAGTCCAACTTATTTTATACTCTGGAGAGGATGAATAGTCCTATGTTTTAGTGTAGGTCTTGGAAAACTGTTGTCAATTTCCTGCACGTCCATAGTCTTCCTGTATAAATTTGGGTAAGTTGCAGAGTTCCCCATCCATGTAATGACAATGTATAGTGCGCTTCCCTACTTTACCAAGATATTAGGAGGATAAAGACTGAAGTCCCCAGTATTGTCTTAATGGGTCTCACATAAACAACTAACACAGAGGGTTTCTAGAATACCTGTTTTTACTCAAGGACAGAAAATGGGAGAGGGTAGAGGGAAATAACATAGAAATAAATGAACTAAGAGAAGAGGAAAAGCAGAAATAAGTACAGAAATTTCTAATGCGCTAGCCATTTTTTAAAAATCAACATTACGCAACAGCTCACAGCAATGTCTTAGTCTAAACATAAAGAAAAAACTGAGCAATGGGCAAAACTAATGATTTTTTAACAGTGATCTTCACGTTTCTGTGAAGTATTAAAATTGTGAAGCTGTCTCTCAGAAATAGCCTAATTTTTGTAATACTCAAATACTATTTTTGTATCACCTCTATTCTATGTCACAGCCTTCCAACTAATGTATTAAGCAGTTAATTCCAGATAAGCAATTAAAACAATACCACAGTCCCTTTAAAGGTACAGAACTTGCAAACAACTGCATTTACTAGTGTTTGTGGATTTGTTTATTCTAGTGGGGAGGGTTGAGCAATCTCTGTACATTTCCTATTCTCTATAAAGCCCATTTCATCATACCAAGAATGCAGACCTGAAAACAAACACCACGCACACACATGTGGATGCAGGTTTAGGACCTAGTTTATAAAAAATAGTTGCCTTTTTAGCATGTACTTGTCTTCAGTCAGTCTGTCAGTGAGACATTTTTTTCTGGCATACTTTTCCATTTTAATGTAATGGTATAGAATTAAATAATACAAGCAAAATATGGTCTGGGGAAAATGATTCAGAGCAATTTCTGTAAAAAAATACACCCCCCCATACCTTTCTATGTACAATTACACAGGGAAACATATATAATAGAAATTCCTTTAAAATATAAGATTTTTCAGTTTACACTGAATTGTATATTAGATGCTTTTCTCTCATTCTATGACCGTTCATTCTTTTTCTGTGTTGCGGAATTAACTGGAGAGCCTTCTTACACTTGTCTCTACAAAGACCTATTGTAAATGCAATGAATGTTTTCATTCTGTGGTGTCTGAAATACAATTTGCAGGGAGGGGAGGTTGCTTTAATTCTGGTCATTAATGGCATTCTTGTAAGGATTTCAATATTTACACTAAAAATCCAAAGCTTTTAGATAATAACTTGCATGTGCCTGCATGTGAACTGGCCCTTTAAGAAGGCTGCTGCCTGGGGATACTAAAAGATATGGCAATCCAAGGCAAGGTCAACAGAGCAGGGGCAGGGGGCAGAATTTGAATTAGTTTTACTGCTGCAAATATGGTCACTTCGTACCCTCTCCCCGAAGGCTTCACTGAATTAGAAGTGTTTGCCATTGGCACAATCCTGCTGGTTGAAGGTAAGTTGCAGAAGGAAGTTCAGGTGAATTCCTGTAATTCCTGAAAGTGAAGCAAAAATGGATTTGAAAATATTGGAAAATATGAGTGAGGAGAAGCATTGGCAATGCAGCAATATAGACTTACTGATTGTGTAGCCATAGAAACAACAGTTTTTGTGATTATGAGAGGGTAAGGGTAGAGGTGAAGGTTGCCTGCAAATGAACTGCTCTGTTTATGTAACTGCATTACTAAGGGTTGGTAACAGCTATTTAGCCTTAAGTAGAAATTCAAAGATAATTTTCTGTTGTTGATATTTTCTTTTCTTTTACTGTTGTGTTCTTTTTATTTTCTTTTGGGGAAAAGGGCTAGATCGATTCATGATTTCATATTAATATTTAGCAAATACATTTTGTTTCATGAAATGCACATTTTCCAGTCCAAAACAACCATTGCAACACTTGCTCTCCAGACAAGCAATACTCTTAACTGCTCGCTCTGCTTCCAGTCTTCCCCACCTCAGCCTTCTGTTCTTCTCTTTTGCACTCAATCATTTCCCCTTCCCAGCACAGGTTCACCTTCGGTCTCTAAGTGTAGGGAGTCGATGTGCTATTTGTTTACCTGATTCTCATAATTTTGAAAATGTTGCAAAACAGATACTTCTTCTTCTGGCAAACAGTAGTCCCTGCTATCTTAACAAAGAAGTCTTTTCTGATCACCTCTAGGTTTGTGTTCTTTTCTACTTTTGCAGGGACCAGGTCCTAGAGTCATGCTTTGAGTCATGATACCAGGGATATGTAAAAATGAAAAATATTTAATAAAAAACCCTTTAGCTCAACTTTTGAAGTCACAAAGAAGTTTATTCAGGTTTTTAGAGAAGATCCAAGTTAAATTGTATTTATTAAATCAAAATAAATTAATAAAAATTAAATAGATTTTATTTTATTAGCACCTGCTTGTCCATCTTTGATACATGTATTTATGTCTATCTCTTTTACTCCATTTTAAAACTTTAGTTCTCCTCCATTTTAAAGATCAAGCCACTGGTATTTCAAGACTGTTTAGACATGCATTAATGTAGTAGATTCTCCTAAAATGGAATTTGAACTGTTTGGAGGGTTTTTATTCTCAGTTTACATGCCACTTTAAATAGTTGCTTTACCATAGTAGACGCTGCAAAAGAGTTTAGTAGTAATGCTTGGGCTATTTAAAGGAGGCCAGTTCATTTAAGACATCCCTTTGGAATATGGCTGAAAGAAACACAAATACACACAGAAAACACATGCAGTCTCCAGAGGCAAGCATTTGGTGACTGAAGGCCAAATAAACTACTACTGTAATTACATTAAATTACTTTAGAACCGGCCTACACATTTGCTAGGATTTTTTTGTAATGTATCCAAGGTCCAAATAAGTCTAATTAGGGAAAATGCACTCCAAGTTGTCTCTGTTCAACCTTTTATGTAATATTTTAGATTGAATGTTCTTGGTAATACAGCAAAATTAATTGAATGAGTAGTCCAATATTTTATTGTCTAACTGGACAGAAAAATGAGATGCCTTCAATCAAAAGTTAATAATTCTAAATAATAAAAAGTTACATATTCACAAATTATTCTGGGTAGCCAAGTCTCAAGTTAATGGAGAAGAGCTGTGGAAAGATCTCACCAAGCTAAGTTAGTCGGCAAAAAAATGGCAGATAAACTTCACTGTCGACAAGTGCAAGGTAATGCACCTCAACTATATGTACGCAATGCTGGTGTGACCGCTGGGCCTCGAACATCCGGTCACGTGCAGCCTTAGTTCAAGTGGCCACTGGTATGCGCCTCACAGACTCCAGTAAACTGTCGAGTAGGTGTTTACTCTTCAAGTGGCCTTCCCCAATCTCACCTGCCACGACTTTGAATGTTTCCCAGTAGTGGGGTGGCTACTCGGGCTGCCTCTGCTGCATGAGATCTGTCCGGTGGCCACCTGCGGGGCTCCGCCACCCCTACACCCTGACCTTACGCCACCTTGATGGGTCACTGGGTCTTCCTGGCCACACTCCCGCTCTTGTCCAGCTGCGGAGGCCTTGCAGGTCCCCTCCTGTCCTGGGTACCGGCTCTCGAGGCTGATTCTCTCAACCCGCCTCTGCTTGTTTGCAATCAGAAATCCTGGCCGTGAAACCTGTTCCCTCCGGAATAAGATACCTCACTTGTGTCCTAAACCAAAGGTGATGCCCCTACGAGCCCTGTACCAGTTACCTCAGCCATATCGTCCACTCCTGTCCCTCAACCCCTCCAAACGGGGAAACACAAAAGGAAACACAAAATACCACTCTCCTATATTGTGGGGAAATCTGAGTAGCCCCTTTCCTGGTCCTATATGTCAGGGTACGGGGTAGCTCATTCTCTAATACCTCTCCATGGGGTGGCCCCTACATGGGGCCAGGTACCCATAGCCTCCTGCTCGGGTCATCTCTCCCACTTTATCCGGCTCTTCCCAGGGTACAGTCCTGCCCCACTTTTCTCCCTTCTGTGGCATCACTATTCGGGTGCCTCGTACCCCTCTGTGTATGCCTGGTTGCTCCCTGTAACAAAGGTAGGAACCCTGTCTCTTCGCAGCCCTTCATGCTGCTCCTGCTGGGACTCTCCCAAAGGGGGAGATTACTTTGCCTCCCAAATGGCCCCAGTGCTCCCACCGGTTGCCGTGTGGGTTGTCACATCCACCCCTCTGCTTCCTCTATTGATACTGCCTTTGCTGGCTGCAGGGGCTGCTTCCAGCTCATCCCTCACTCTGCCGAGCTGTTCTTCACCGCCACTGCCAGGGTCAGCGTCCGGAGCCTCCTCTGGCTCTTCAGGCTGTCTTCCTTCCTCCCTGAGGGACTCCCGAGAGGCACCCTGTGGCTGTGTCCCCCTCAGGTCTGCTTCCTCTCCCCCTCTGTCTCCACCGGCAGCTGGTTTTATTCCCACCAGCTGCTGATTGCCAGTGACATCACCGGCCGACTTCAGCTGTATAAAGACATGGCTGACGAGCCGCGTGGGTTTCTTTCCCTGTTCCAGCTGTGCCGCGGTTCCTGCTGTAGGTAAGTGGTTTTTTTGTTTTAACTTTATATTTATTTCTTCTTTCTGTGCATTTTGTTCCCAGGGATCTCCCCTTTTAGTCCGGTGTCCTTCCCCCCACTCTACCCCAGGACAGCTGGGTTCTGAACTAGTTTTTATGACTCAGAAAAGAGCCCTTGGAGTCACTGTAGATAGTTGTCTAACAGCACCAGCTTAATGTGCCATGGTGATCAGAAAAACCAATAAAATGTTGGGCATTATTAGGGTGTGTAGATCTTCAAGCTACTGCTACGTTGGAACATGTCTGACCTTCATCCTGCCCTCCCACTTTCCCACCATGCCTTGATGTTTTAGTTTCCTTGAGAAGGTTTTAGATGATCCCTTGGACAAAGGCCTCTGGGTAGGCCACTGGTTCTTCTGTAGGGCTCCACATCCCCTATACCCTGCCCCTTTCCTCTCAGGTCTGTGGTGAAAGATTCCTACCAGTTCTACATTAAGGATCTAGTCTGGGGCTTCTATCTGGGCTCCTTTCATGTTCCTTACATCATCGATTAACCCCAGCCCTTGTCTCAACTCTCACAAAATCACTATCTGGCTGTTAAGTCAACTGGTTATTCATAAACATAATGTTAGACACACTCACTTGAGGAGTCCCCAAATTAGTTCACTCCTCTTCTTTTGAGGAATCTGATAAATTAATTCCATAAGTCCACAAGTTAATTCACTTACTGGCTTCCCATTCACCTCTTCAGAATTTATCTATTAATTTACTTCATACTTCCTAATCATTGCTATAAATGTATTCATAATTCATAAATTAATTCCCTTCTTGCTTCTTGATCATTTCTGTAAATTCATTCACAGTTCCTAAATTAATTTCCTTCTCATTTTTTGATCATTTCTAGAAATTCATTCACAGTTGCTAAATTAAATTTCCCTCAAATATTTTATCTAATTCTGGCACTGCTGTGCCTTCACTGAGTGCCTCCAGGTATGGATCCTGTTCTGCCTGTCCCCAGAATCACCAGACCAGCCCCTTACTAATCTGGCTGGCTCTCTCTCTGTTGGGTCACTCAGTTCTTTACTTAAGGCTCATCCCAGCTTCTGTGGGATTCATTGGTTCAGCCACCTAGGTCCCACATCACCATGTGGGTTGTACAACTCTGTGCCTGAGCTGTAACCTCCACTCTCTGGGGGACACCAAACACTAGTTCATCTTCTAGCTCTCTCTTCAATGGTCTGGCTGGTTCACTGAGCCAATGAGGATGGGTTCCCTCTGGGTCTTCCCCTTCTTCAGGTTGTCCCTAGACCCGTTTCCTGGTACACCTGTAGCCACATGGTTCTCCTAGCTGTGCTCATTTGAGTTATCCTCTGTCTGGGCCAGCTTCTTGCATTCATAGCAGGGGCTTGACTCCAACTCCTGCTATCATTAAGAACAAAATAGAGAACATCACGCCATTACATAAATCCATGGTATGCCTCGATCTGTGTGAAGTTCTGGCCCCTGCATCTCAAAAAGGATATAGTACAGTTACAAAAAGGTAGAGAAGGGCAACCAAAATAATCAAGGGCATGGAGCAGTTTCCATACCAGAAGAGACTAAAAAGGCTAGGACTCTCCAGTTTGGGAAGGAGAAGGGTGAGGGGGATATGATAGAGGTCTATAAAATGATACAGCGTGTGGACCAAGTGAACAGGGACTGTTGTTCACCAAGTCACAGAATACTAAAACTGGGGAGCACCCAATGAAATTAGTACCTAACAGATTTAAAACTATGAACAGAAAATACTTTTTTCACAACTCATAGTTAACCTGTAGAATTCATTGCCGCAGGAGCTGGTGGAGGCAGATAGCATTGCCAGGTTCAAAAAGGGGTTGGATAAATTCATGGATGATAGATCTGTTGATGGTTATTGGAACAGAATGGTTGGAAATGTTTCCTCTGGCATCTCTAAACCTATGAAGATAGATGCCAGCAAGGG